TACTACTGTTCTACTTTTGTTGTAACAGAATGATTATTGTTTTCATTATTTTTCGGGTTATGAGGAGCACTATCTTCACCTTGTCGACCCCAACACAACAGTATTCTCTACAATTTCCAACACCGACGAAAAAGAGTGAAACATATTCCCTGCCCTAAATACGAGAAAAATAAATAGTAGTATGAGACATGGTAATATTAGGAGGTTCTAAATATATCTGATATTTGTCTTCCTACTCTACGCTAACAATTTTTTTATTTTTTTATTTTTCTAAAAAGGGAACAAACTGCACTTTGGATAGTGATAATTAATTGGTGTCTCGATAGAAGTTAAAGAAAAATATAGTTACTGGTATTATTTTTGTCCCAAAATAAGAATAAATTAATCTACAACAACATATCAAACAACCAATTGCACTATTTCTTTCCGGTCATTATCGATATGACGGGTTTTGGTTCGAAAACTGACAAAATTGAATGGGCAAAAATGAAAAGGATGAATCAAGTGAGTGGAGGGTCGAATTTTCTTTTCGGAAATCATGCTGCTCTTGTTGGGTGTAACGTTAAACGGGGCTAGCTTCTCAAAATTAAAAAAATAAAAAAGTGGGAAATTTCAGGGAAGCTTTTTTTGCATAGGGTGCCATTATCGGGGGATGGGTGTTCTTATTTGTTATTCCCGTCTGTTCCACAAAAATAATACATATTAAATAAGTTTTATACTATTTTTAATATAAATTTAAAAATTTAATATGGACTATTTTTTTTTTTGAACGGAGGAAATATTACTTATCATCATCATCTGCATTCTCTGCAGTCATTCACTTACAATTTGATGGGTTGGCCTTATTTGTTGTGGGACAAACCCTCCACCGACCCCCCTTTTTTTTGCCTGCCTTTGGTCTTCTTCTTCCTAATCCTCCTAGCTTCTAGGCTTCTTTGTTGCTAATTACTCCTATAATAATTCCCCACCAATATTCCACCCTTTCTTTTATAATAGACCCCAATTACACCAAATTCCTCCCCTATAAACGTTTCACTACCCACCTAGTTTTTAGCGGGAAAACTTTGTAGTATTAGACTCTTTTACTAATATTCTCTCTTAAATTAAACATGGTACGACTTTTTTATCCATCAATTAATGTTAAATCATTTTGTTTAAAAAAAAAGAATTATTATTAAATCATAGTTATAAGAGTATGATCGTATTGGTTTCTCTTACCCATTTGTAATTTATTGTATAGACTTGAGTTTACATATGACACACAGATCATGACTTTTTCAGCTCACCAAGAGTTTGAATATTACTAGTCCGTAGTATTTCATACTCCTATTCTGATTCCTGACCTTCAAAACAACATCTTTGTAAATATTACTATATCTTTAATTATAATTTGGATTTGCCCGTGCTACTCATAATCAACAATGGATGAATACGACGTTTTGTCACACTTGATCACCCGCCATAATTAAAAATTCATCCTAAACAAGATGTCCCAAGTATGCATTATGTATCTCTTATATATGAGTCTTAATAAGGGATATATATAACTCATATTAATAAATGAAGTATTAAAAAACTTTGTTACATAATGATCATTTTATCCAATGCCCTCTGTGGCTGGATGGTTGGCGGAATATTGTTACGGCCTTATTTTGTACTACTTACGTCCCAAAAAAATAGTCCACATTGAATTTTTAAATTTGTACCAAGTCATTTTGATTTCGTCCTAAGTTTCACCTAGAATGTCTTTTTAATTGAAATAAAAATTTTAAAAACATTTTATAATAATGAGGAGAATACAAAGATTGTAAAAATCTATTTTAAATTTTTTTTTAATTAAAAAGACATTTTATGTTAAACTTAAGACGAAATCATCAAAATGCTTTATAATAAGGAATGGAGGGAATATAAAACTTAAACCTCAATGTGGACTATTTTTGTGGGACGGAGAGAGTATATTTATACCTGTGCAAACGACTGCGAGTATGCTCTGATTGTTCTTCTATAAATATGTAGGTGTGGATTTATTTTTGTAATTCTGCAACTAGAAATCACGAAAGTACGAATAGCTCATTTTGGCGGTACATTTCGGATTTCGCAATCAAGAAAATAGAGAGCTGGGACAAGAACCGGCCATTTGATATTTGATAGTAACCGGGGGGTAGTGTTATATATTCGGCCACAAGCAGAAGCGACTAAATTAGGCAGGGCTCCACTCTTTCAAATTGCATCAAAAAGAGATTGACAAACAACATGTCACCATCCCTTTCCACTTGGCATCCCATTTAGGGTGACCACGTAGCTGGAGGCTGCCAACAAACACATAAATTGTTTGTTTCATTGAACAACACATACATTTTGAAATAGAAGAAACACGTATTATAATAATAATAATAATAATAATAATTAATGGATATATAGTCGTCTTACAACCGTAGCTATTTAATAGATAGGGCATAGGGTAATAATCTCCAAAGACTTTGATCAAATGAAAAAGAAGGGTTTGATCCAAGAAGTCGAGTAATTAAGTGGGGTGGGAAGGGTGATCAATAATTGACGCTACGGATGGATTAGTAAATAGAAAAGGAATGGAATTGTAGACTTGTAGCCTAGGAAGTGGAGGGGCTTACCATTGTTGATCTTGATGGGGAAGAATTAAGACTTACAAAAATTGAGATGACATTAGTTAATACTCCTTCCGTCCCAAAATTATTATCTAATTTGAATTTTCATTTTTAGTACAAATTGAATTGAAAAATGAAATTCCAAACTAGACAATAATTTTGGAACGGATGAGTAGTATTCAGTGTGAGTATGCTTCAAAATTTTGGTGACTTCTTTAGCCTATAATAGTATCGTCATGAAAAACAAAGCAAGGCCTACATGTTAGCATCAAACTATAAATTCGAGACACAGTTGGGTGTGTGCGAAATTTCTACATTTGTCTTCTTGTACGTACGTGTTTAATTTGACAAACGGACTGAGGCCTTTAGTGTCCTGCTTTGCAATTTTGAAGTTGCAACAACAATACGCATTTTGGAACTACAAACATTGCATTATTTACAACGTATGAAAAAACTAAACATCCGTACAAATTTGAATTCAGTTTATAAAATTATTCAAGGAAAAGTGAACTTGATTGTCTGAGCAAAACCAGAGAGTGAAATTGCAATTAACTTGGATCCACGTCAATCCACCAACAAATTTGCCTTATGAAAGAGAAGCAGATGAAAGTTAGATTTAGAAGATGATGCATGTATGTGGATCAATTAGGAGTAATGATCTTTGCATTAAAATTCTTTACGAGGAGGGGTGTTCTGGCAAGTTGTAATTACATTGGAATAACCTTTGATCACTTCTCGTGTCAGAATGGGGTGTGATTTTTTTTTTTAAATCATTATTTCACTTTCAAATGTGTTTATGCACATATTAAAATGAAGAGAAGCACTCAAAAAGTAACATTTACAATTCTCATAATAGGTAAAATAAAATTACCGCTTGCAAGAATCAACGTGTGATTACTCAAAATAATTATTCCCGTTTTCTTGCAACGAATTGGAGACTTTTTTTTTTTTTAATAAAAAAATACTGGAGAGGGAAATATTGGCGATTTCAATAAGTATTCAATCAAACGAGTGAGGTGGACGCAACAAAATCCCAAATTGCACTCCTAATTTCAACGGTTAAATCTTAAATCAAATGAAAACAAAGTGGTAGCACATGTCTGTTTACTACTGCATTTTGAAAGGCTTTGGGGGTGCAATTGTCATCAAACGTTAATTTGTTTAAAGTCTTCATGAAAACTTATCCGGAAAAAACGCGGTAGACACAGAGATGTTGACTTTGAAGTCTTAAGTACTACTTAGAAGAAGTATTGCTGTAAATTCTCGTTCTACACAACAATGTAAACTTATTGGTTTGGGATCATTCATGGAAGTGTAGATTTTTCAAAAAAATTACAATTTGAACTAAAAAAAACCCAAACTAAACAATAATTATGGGACGAAGGGAGTATTAAACTGCAATAATTAGTATTCATTTGACTTTGATTGTTTTCTTTTTGAGGATTGGTTAACTGTCCAAAATTTTCCTTCCAAAACGGATTTTGACTCCTTTCAGTAGTTTAGTGTGCTGTTCTTCTTCGTATGTAGTAGCTAAAAAATTCATTTTTTATAACGTTAAAAATTAATTACGCTTTGGAACGCAGCATTCAATTTGGTAATTCGGGAATTAAAACGGGAAAAAAAAGTGATGTGTTGACGGATGAGTACAATCCTGGGGTTGTTAAAACAGAAGTTGGTTTATAAGTGTAAACTGTACATATTACTTACTGCTCCCTTTTGTCCTTATTATAAGTCATTTTAATTTCGTCATAAATTTCACATAACATGTCTATTTAATTAAAATAAAAATCTTAAAAATATTTTATAATAATTATATTTTTAAGATTTTTTAAAATTAAAAATACATCTTAGGTTAAACTTAAGAAAGAATCAAAATGTTTTATAATAAGGATGGGAGAGAAGGAGTAATATATTAGTGTGGCATAAAGCGTACGTAACCTCACAAAACTCCAAAATCAACGGCCAAAATAAGACCAAATTCCTTTGACCCATGCTTTTTCTGATATTCTAAACTGAAAACACCTATTTCTATTTTTTATTTATTATTTTTTTTTAAAAAAAAATTGAATTAATGCTGCTGATATAAACTGAAATAGAAACAGAAAGCCAGGCTGGAGCTGGGAGGCACAATTGCCACATCATCATCCCCAATCCGCAATCCCCCCATTCCCATTCCCAACCCCTCACGTGGTAATGCACCCAACTTATAAACTCCACTATTAAGTTCAAATTGATACCCTCCCCCCAAAACATACAAAAAAGAAAAAAAAGAAGGAATATATTCATTCATTCATTTCACTCAATCAATTATTCATGTATCAACCTCATGAATATGGCCAAACACAAGTAATAGTATATCCCCCTAAGCATTTTGAAATTGAAAACGTGAGAAGAACCACACACACGCACAGTTAGCTCACGAACATTGTCAAGTTTCATTCAAAAAAACAAAAACAACCAAGGAGAAAGAAACGCAGACAAGTAAGATAGCAACGCAGTGATAATGCCAACTACTACTACTACTACTATATGAGTGTGTGACTGTGTGTACTAAGTGGGGGGTGTGATGAATGCCTGCCAGTCTCCCTCCCTCAAAACAAAAAAAATTAGCAAAGGAGAGGAGTATATATTAATTATAGTCTCGTGGATTTCAGCGTTATTTTTCAAACTTGCCTTCATACCCGCGCTCATCTCTATACTGTTCCGTTGATTTTTTTTTTTGTTTTTAATTTCTTATTTTATAAAAATAACATATATAACAAAAACCCCTTATACTATTACTACTGCTTACTAATTTTTGCACCCCCAATTGGAAAGAAAGCCTCAAACTTTGAGGCACAAAACAAGAAAAGGCAGCCACCCCCACCACCAGAGTCCACCACACCACACCCCCAATCTCTCAATTCTCTTTTTTTCAACAAAATACTGCCCAAAACTCCTCCCTCCCCTCCCCTCATCTCATCCTATCAATTCTCCTCCTCTATCCCCCCATTTTTCACTACCCCCTGCTTAGCATCATCATCCCTGCTATTTCACGAATCTCGAGGCATGTACTTCTTTTGCCTTATTTTTTCTAATTCCATCTCCTTTTTATTTTATTTTTTTTATTTTTTTTTTATGTATATACATATAAGAACTAGTATGTGTTTGCGATAAGGTTAACTGTGACTGATTTTGGTTCCTAATTTTGGGATTCTGTTTGTGCTGCCGTTGTTGTTGTTGTCAAAAGTTCGAATCCTAGGCATCAAATGGCTTAAAGGGTTTTTTTTTTTTTTTTCCACTTAAAAGTGTTTGTTACCTTGTGTTTTTTGCCTGTTCCGTTTTTTTGGAGTTAAATTGTTTGTATTTGAGTAATCAGAAAAGAAAGAGAAAAAGAGGTTAGAAAAAGGAAGAGTGAAACTGGTTATCTATCCCTTTTCTGGTTTTATTTTATATATATAAAACCGCTCTCACCAAAAGACTCTAACTTTAGCATGCGAGAGCGGGGGAGGAGTAGCGGCGGTGGACAAAGCGTTTAGACAATGCAGAGTGTGAAGCGGAAGCTTAACCCCAACAATACTCCCACTATTCCCAACTCCGGTCAACACCCCCAACCGGTCCAGAAGCAGAAAGAGAGGCATATCGTTTCCTGGTCCCCTGAGGTCTGTTTTCTTCTCCTTCTTATCTTGTGGGCTTGTTTGTTTGTTCCTCTGGGAGTTGGGTTTAATGATCGTGATGAAATGGATGGTCTTTACTTGCAGGAGGATGATATTCTCAGAGAGCAGATTGGTATCCATGGAACTGACAAGTACGGATTTTTATCGTATTAGTGTTTTTATTTAATGTGGAAATGATTTTTTTTTTTTTTTTGTTTTTGTTTTTGATGCCATAGGATTTGATTTTGATGTTTTGCGTTCTTTTAAGCAGTTGGGCGATCATTGCTTCAAAATTCAAGGATAAAACTACCAGACAATGCAGAAGAAGGTTGGTGGGAAACCATCTTACTTTAAGCATTCATTCAAGCTATATGACGTACTGTTTTGGGGGGCTTTCTTTGGATTTTGATGTTTGATATGACTCTTACCAATAATGATGCAGGTGGTTCACTTATTTGAACTCTGATTTCAAGAAAGGTGGATGGTCTCCTGAAGAAGACTTGCTCTTGTGTGAGGTATACTGATGCTACGGAAAGCTCCCTTTTGAGTTATAGATGGTGTTTTTAATTGAGGTTCCATGGTTGTCCCAGATTTCTTTTTCGGTTTCGCAGAAAACCCAACCATAAGTATATCATCTTCCAGTGGTATTGGTTTGAATTGGTCAAATGATGAATGCATTCAATTTGACTTGATATGCTCATTCAAGTCGTCCGCCCGGGATCTGAGGGATTGCTTGGGTTCATTAATGCAGAGTGTTTCAAATTAATCTGTCTGATGATTGATCATTTCCACATGACCAGTCCTCTTGTTATTCTGTTCAACTAAAAATGAAATATGTCTCTGCAGGCACAGAAGATATTTGGCAATAGATGGACTGAAATAGCTAAGGTTGTTTCTGGCAGGTAAGGGACATTTTAAGTCAATGGATCTCTTTCTCCTTGTCCATTATGTTAATAATGAACTTAATTGTAATCATAAGTACTAATTTGCTTGGTTGTGCAACTCTGGTCTGTGGAAACAGAACTGATAATGCAGTGAAGAATCGGTTCTCTACGCTATGTAAGAAGAGAGCCAAAAATGAGGCCTTAGCTAAGGAGAACAACACTTCTTATATCAATTTGAACAACAAAAGAATCATCTTTCCGGCTGGTCTCAGTACAGATGGAATATCAGAAACTGCAGAACATTTGAAGAAAATGAGGTACAACTAGCTCTGCAATATTCAGATTTTACATACATCAAGATCAACTTAAGCCATCTGACTTCGTTGCATTACTTCAGGAGAAGCCACATACCCAGTACGACTGAGAACTGCAAACAGGAAGTTGGCAAATCTGGACCAACTACTCAAATGTGTAGACCGCCTTTTGCAGTGCTTCCTCAAAACCACAAGGATGAAAGCAGCTTGTCTGGTGAACAGTTCGTCGATGATGTTAAGGAGGCTTCTGTTGATGGTAATTATCTTTTATACATTCTTGGTTGTAGACCACTAATCCACCATCATTTCCTGAAGTCCCTGAGAGATGGGAATTGATGCTTGAATAGCAAGCCATCCACAATTCCACATTGCATAATTGAATTAAGATTACAAATTTGTTTACTATCTCCTTCTTTGCATGTCCTTGCTCAGGTGGAAACAGCCAAAATCAAGGTACATTTATCAAGAAGGATGATCCAAAGGTACTAGCATTGTTGCAACAAGCAGAATTGCTCAGCTCACTTGCAGCAAAAGTAAATTCAGATAATACAGAGCAGAGCCTTGAAAATGCCTGGAAGGTATTACAGTCATTACATTCCTGCAATTAATTATCTTTTCATAAAATGAGAGAAACGCACCTGACCTTTAGATTCCCCCCTAGACATGTAGAAAACAGAAAATTAAAAACGTAAGTTGAAACCTATAGGAACTAAATATTTGAAATTCACAAGGTAAATGAGCTTGAAAAGGGATCACCGTTTCTCCTTTCGGATACAAGTTGAACTCCACTTTCTATTACGTCTTGCATGGATTAGTTATTGATTGTTCAAAGTTTACTTTTTTTTTCTAATTCTACGAATCTTATGTTTTCTGGCAGTAAAGGATATGGACAAACCTTCGTTACCACTCAAAAGTTCATCTTTTGCATCATTAGTATACTGGAATTGCATAAAATTTTCACCTCCATTAATACGAAAACTTGAATCTCTTCTCAGGTTCTTCAAGACTTCTTGAACCAAAACAAAGAAAGTGACGAGCTCTGCCTAACGATTTCTGACATGGATTTTCAACTTGAGACTATTAAGGACTTGATTGAGGATTTGCAAGGAAATGATGAAGGCAGTCGTATATCATTGAGGTAAAACACCAAGCAGCACAGATGTTTAGTTCAGATCTCTCAATCAGTACCAAGATAACTATAATGGTGGATTTGCAGGCAACCTGATTTACATGAAGAGACCTCCGGCTGCTCGGAGTTCAGTGCTGGATCACCTCCAACAACCCAAGTGCCTCTTGATAATATAGAGCAATGTCATTCTGAGCTTTGTGCACCATATCAGGGAATTCAAGCCGACTCGCTAGTAGCTCAAGTTGGTGATATTAATGGGATAGTTGAAGGTGAAAATCAAATACCCGTCAGCAAACCTTCTGATAAAGGTCTGTAATTCTTTTGTTTTTTATGTGAAGCCATTCAGTAACTTCTCCGATGCCCTTGTCTAAGAAATTGAACATTTGTTGCAGCAGACATTTTGCCCGACTGTGATGACATAAAAGGCAATGCTGTATCTGCATTTAGCTATTCAAATACGGAGTTCAGTTCCCCTATTCAAGAGACTCCACTGTTTAAGTCAATGGCTGCAGCAATCCCCAGCCCAAAATTTTCAGAAAGCGTGAGTAAGATGTGATTTACACGTATGCTTGGACATATTGCAAGCAGCAGTCAATTGTTCTCTAACTGTTAAATCTCCAATTTCCCAAGGCTGTTTAGAAATGACCTCTTCCTACGAGCTGATATCATTATTAGAGATAAAAGCTACGACATTTTCATGATAATCAAGAAGTTTCAGAAAGCTAGTATAGTATTGAACTGAGCCCCCGCAAGCTTCTCATATGGAGTAAAAGCCTGGAAATTTAATTTTGAAATGTGTCTGCTTTCCACTCATTTCTCCCTTTCACTTGGTTTAACGTGTGACAGTAAGCAATATAACAAATGCATGCCATTCTTAGATTTTAACATACTACATGGATGCTTGTTGGGGTTTTACTGACTATAGTAAAAAGCAGCATCTCATTAGCCTGCAATTTAAGTGAAACATAACCTATGTCTTCCACGGCATCCCTTCTCTTCTCTATTCCAATTGCACAAGCTTGGCCATTATCTTCCTATGAACTTACAAAGTTGCAGTTGCATTTGCATAAATCATCTCAAAATTACTGGACAACGGTGCTACTTTTCTTAAACATTGGAGATTTTCAGGTCAAGTGGCGACTTAATTTGCATCATTTTGTGTATTGTTGATTGGTAAATCAAAACAAATATTTATTTTGGAAGTGTGCGTAGTATGTCTGTCAGTATATTGATGCATATGAAATGCAGATCCTCGATTCACAGGTGCAGTACTGAAGTATATTTGTATTATGCAGGAGAGGCAGTTTCTACTAAGAGCACTTGGAATGGAGTCCACTTGCTTAAAACCAAGCACAAATCTTTCACAACCTCCCGCTTGCAAAAGGGCTCTCCTTCAAAGCCTATGACGGTTTTCTTTGATCCATCTCACTTGATTCAGAGCTTCCTTCACTGTTTAATTCCAGTTTTCAGCATATGGGGCTTTTTACCTTAGCTTTTAATCTCACTCCCTTCTTCCATAGCAGTCAGCTCGACCTGTGTTTTTGCAGAAGGCCTATGAGGATCTGCTTTGCAATCTAGAATGTTATGGCACATTCTAGATCGCCTTATGAGTTCTTTGCTGAGTAACCTAATACTCACATGGATTTTCTGTGTGGCTTTTAGTATTGTGTCTAATTCTTTTGTGTGTTGTTGGGAACTCGAGTTTTGGAGGTCGAAGTTCCCACAAATTTTGGCCTTGATGATGCCAATTGTATAGACATACCCCGTATAATTCCCTAGTTATTTAGAGTGTAAGTAGACACCGGCACCTCGCCAGAATTAGGCATTTATAGAGAAAATTTGAAAAGATGATAGGAAAAGACTACCAAAAAAAAAAAAAAAAAAACAGCAAAGGAGGCTCAACCAGGATAATTGGACTCCTTGATGTTTAAGGTGTGCAGAGTATGATAGGTGAAGTTTTCATGGTGTTCATATAAATTCTTTTTGTTCTTTTGATATTTACATGTAACATTTGTACTTACTAGAATGGGAAGTGGAATGTGTGCCAGAGTGCGGACAATTCTGTTTTCTTGCTCGTCTGAAAAAGGTTTTACTGCACATAGAAAAGCAAATCTGTTACAGATGTGCGAATGACAGAAAAACATGAATGCAGATGATGAAAATGCCCAGTTGGGCTATAAAAGCAATGGAAAATGAAAGAAAGAAACTTGAGAGAGTGGAACAAGAGTTATTACAAGATTTCCATGCTCTTTTTCTGCTGCATTTGCCTTGAGAAACCCCTCAGTTGGTTCTCTGCTCTTCTGTGACTTGATTTTTTCTCTGAAAATTTATCTGAGGCAGGGGACGGGGAAATCCTTGTGGGGAAGAGGTTGGGTATTTAACATGGTCAGCGGGTTGGTTGTTGGCGGAGGACAAAATGTGATGATCAAAAGCAAAAGGTACATGTAAAAAAGAGGGAGGGAACCCGGTACAAATTAAAGTAGTGCTCTTGAGTGTCAACCATTTTACCTTACAGTCCATCCACCTTTGAGCAACATGTAGGAAGACCAGATTTGACTTGTAAAGACAAACCGGTGACAATTTAGTCGTGTTTTTTATATATATATATATATATATATATGTATTTAACTCTAAAATTTTTGGGCAGGGTGTCAAAATGAGTTTGTTTCTTTTAGTTATGATCTCTATATTGAAACCGTGTTATTCACAAAATAATGTGTATTTCTTGTTTCTCAAAATTAGCAAATCGTTATGCCCATTGTTTCAATTTGAGGGATAAAAGAGTAATTACAAGCCGGTTTTCTAGATCACCAAAGATGTGAATCTCATCATTTGAAACCTACTTTGAGTAAGTGCATGGATTGCAGGCGGTCCACCATGTTCCCCAGCAATTAAAATAAATTAGTACAAATTTCAAAAAAATGACTGAAAAAAAAAATGGTTTCTTCTCTTTTTGAATTTGTCGGCACCCCGCTGTAGCCGTTAGATACACATCACAGCAAACAAAATAATAATGGAAGGAGAAGATATATTAGATGGGATACTGGTATGGGTTGTTAGGCACTAATGAACATCTTAGTGGATGAAATGACAATTGATTGAAGTAAAGCATAAATTTTTCTTGTTATTTCGTAGTAATAAAATTTGAATATGTACTCTCTCCGTCCCGTATTAATAATATATCAACTGTCCAACTCTACTCGTATCGTCTTTTTTTTTTTTTTGCAGAGTTAAAATATTAATCCTTGAAAAACTAACCAGTAAAAAATTACTAGCAATTAAGGGCAGACGGTCCAAGAGCTCCTCTAGCAAGGAACTTCAACAAATCCAGAGTGTTGATATCTTAGTTGAGGATGTGGAAAGTAAAAAGTTCTTCCTTGATTATGAGGTCTTCGATGAAAAATTCTGCTGGTATGACCGATACTCATAAGCACTAAAGCCAGACGCAATCTCACCTGGTTCGGTTTCCATTACGATTATGATTCAATCAGTTTCTCCTACTTATTCAGTCATTCCGTACAATAAAACCCGCGATTCCATAACAAAAATCCAAGAACAAGCCACATGTGCAAATTGCAGAGACCAGGTAACCAAGAAAATATCAAAATTTTCATTGGATGTCTAATATACTTAGAATACATCCAATCCAATACAATTTGTTTGCGGAAAATGCCATCAGTTGGCTGTAAATACACCAATACTATACCAGACTAATATTGTAAGAAAGAAAAAGCTACGACCTTCTTGTTATACTATCATATGCGAAGTCAAAATGGGCTAAAAACTTACACCTTAATATCAAGATCTACAGACCTGTTTTACGTGGATTTCTTCTTCTTTTGCATTCTCTGTAATCTTCTCCATTTCAGATATATCTGGTACGACAATCCAGAAAATACCATGAAGACACTTCCCCATTGCTTTGGGGACAGAGCATTGCCACTGAGTAGTGAAGAAACCACAATGCTGACAAATTTGCGGGTGGTGGTTATAGTTGTGTTAGTCAGGGAACCGAATCGACTAATGGTTAAAAAGATAAAATTTTGGCCCACTGCTCCACACAGGCAGTAGAGCAAAATGTCCCAAGCCGCCTCTGGATGCTGCTGGCAGAATTTAACTGCCTCGTATCCGCTGGCTTGTGGCCAACCAAACATGAAGACTACGTTGTAAATGGTGCCCCATAAGTTCATTCCCAGCATGATATCCCAAGCAGTTGTTTTTGGGTACCTGCACCAGAATATGAACGGGCATTAGTATGATGTCATCTGTAATCAGAAGGGACTTCTGAATATGTATGATAGCTTAAAAATAACAATTCCGAAGTCCACCAAATCAAGTTTCCAGATTCAGATACCTTGCTGTAATAGAGTCCTGAGTTGCATTGGTAAATCCATCAAATGCAAGGTTTAGACAGCATAGAGTATATCCAAGTCGAGCATCAGGATGCGCCAGCTTGCTAATGGTTTTTGAGCTAGGCTAAAACCAGAGAAAAACAACGATCAATCAAATGGGACAGGAAGGATAACTCACTTCCATACACACGAAGTTGAAGAGTAAGACAAACATGAAAAAGAGTGACTCTCAATAATCCCTATCAACCATGAGTTTTAGGAGCTAACCTTCGAGAGTGCAAAGATTGATACTCCACCGGCAACAAGTAATGTACAGACATATTCAGGAAAGGTGTATCTTATGCCGTAAACAAATGTTCCCATCAACATGACTGCAAAAGGACACGAATATATTACTAAATGAAACCATCTTAAACCTTGACAAGTTACTCATTCTACTTCCCATGAATGGTGAACATAGGCTTCTACATACCCCAACGTATGACATAGCTTACAGTACAATAGTTTGGCCTATAAATATTCTATATGCAGAGCAATCATCACATCTTCGAAGGATAGGCTCAACCAAATGCCAAACTAAAATACAAGTGCAAACTTCCCGAAATCAAAAAAGACGCCAATATCAGAAGTTGCACTACAGCGACAAAGAGCAAATTCAATCCATCCAATGGAAAGAGAATTTGTAGAATAAAGAACAAAATGCATGGACCCCCTTCCCGTACACAAGGCATGTTGGTCACCAAAAAATTTTGCAGTAGGACAGAAATACAAGCTCATAACCCACCTGGAATCATTTTTGATGATTTGGCCAGGACCTGCACACAATGACGACTTGCATAAGCATTCAAAAACAGTAGTAATCAGGCGAATATAGAAGGCTGGCCATAGCTACAGTTCAGCAACAATTCAAACAGAACAAAAAGGAGCACAAAAAATGAAGAAGTATAGGCTCACCTGACCAGGGTAGCTGATATATTTCAATGCTTCAATCCCCATGGCTGGTCCAATGGTATTGGTAATTCCAGCACTCCAGAAACTCCACCATGGTGCACCAGCACTGCCGCCATTGGACCAAAGTTTAATCACTGCATGATGAAATTAAAATAAAGCTTCTTACTTCTCCTCAAAAAATGAATAGCCACGGCGAACAAAAGGAATCGTTAAGAGTTAAGAAGGAAAAGCCAGAATATAATCGTACTTATGAAAGACCATATGAGGCAAACCACATTCTGTGCCAAGTTGAGGAAAGCCAAGTGCTCAAACCTCTTCTTTTCGGGTCCAAATTGCTTCGTGGACCTAAAGCCATAAAAAATTGCTCAAAATCAACCAAAAACCATCACAATCCACTAACTACATCAACTACTTCAGCATCAAGTGTACATCAAAATGAGAAGACAAGATACACAGCATACATATTTTAAGTTTACAATTAAATTGCAAGAAACTAAACATTTGACCCCCAGCATAAACACATTGATGAAATGCCATTGATCCCCAAAATCAAATCATGTAGCAATAATAAACAAGTGAGGGAACCGATGACTGTTGTCATAAAAAAAGCTACACGAAATATACGAATAGAAACCAAATGATGACGAAAAGGGTGAATGAAAATTGACTTACAAAATCTCTTGGAGGACGCCTTGATAAATGTAAGCGGACCAGATCCCGGCGACGCAGAAGGACAGGAGAAATACGCGGCGGAGCCCGGAGCCGTGGGACTCCATCACCGAATAGTATTCACTCCTAAACAACTCAAAGTTTTCAAACTCGCCGGGATGATTGAGATCCCACGCGCCACCCCCCGCGAAGTTGTGGCAGGATTTTGCAAATTAATTCAGTTTGAGTTTGGAGGTTTTTGATTTACATGTGACAGCATATAACTGATATTGGAGCGAACCGACGAGTTACGGTTAAAGATTGTCGTTTCCAGATGGGTTGCGTCCAGATCCTACGTGTCAATGTACAATTGGTTGTTGGAAGTGGAAGCTGGGATCTGATTGGGCAGAGGGACGCAGTATGACGACGAGTGACGAGGATTCCAGAGGTCTTTGTATATTTAAAAACTTGGGCTGCTCCCAACATTGCAAAAAGTTGTTGTTGGGCTCCGGCCTTATAAATGCTCCATGAACATTGGACCAACTAAAAACTTACTAGTGTATCAATTGCTAGAATTTTAGCCCATAGTGTCTTGATACATAAACACCAATCCTACTCAATCCTCACATGAACCAAACTATAAGTCTTATTTTGGGTTTTGCTTTTTATTTATTATTATTTTTTGTGGTTTTTTGTGAGTACTGAGTAGTGTGCCCAAAAGCTTAAGAAAGAAAGAAAAAAAAAAAAAAAACTCAAAGACATGGAAAGTTTGGATCAATATTTATTTATGATTAAACCTGCAAGACATTTTGCACTATGCTATAATATTGCTATTCATATTTAACCACAGAGTGAATTGATGTGTAAGTTGTTGAATGGGGAAACAAATTATGACCTTTATCCGATATTTGTGGTGATTTAAAGCACATTTTTCGTCTCCTTCAAGTATTTTCCGGACTGTTTTTATGTATTCCCTCCATTTACAAATATACGTGGCTAGAGAGATTTCACAAAGTTTAAGGAAGTAATAATTATCTTGTTAAAATACTATAATACCCTCATTTATTCTTAATTCAATTGTAGTCCCAATAAAATTCAGTTCTAATACTTCAATTCTACATTAAACATCACAACAATTTCCAATGTAAAGGTAATATTGGAAAAAAATTGATAAAATATGCCTCGATTTGTAAGAACGACATCTATTTCGTAATATTTAATTTTTCCTCCAATGACATTTATTTGTGAATGGAGAGAGTAACACATACATCACATTATTCAAAAGATGACAGGTTTTTGGTTTTTTTTTTTTTGTTTTTTCTTGGTGGAATAGTTATCCTCTCATTCAACATTGACTAATTAAGCACCTTGTGGCACTTAATGTCACAGGTGAGATTCTAATCATCTCTCTCTCTCTTTCCATTTTATTATATTTTTTTTGGGAACAAATGCTTCAAGGAGCATGGGAGAGATTTAGTTGTCCCCCATTGAGATTGATACATTTTTTTAAAAAATTTTAAATGTAATAGTAATAGATTAATCAATGGGCACAAAGCGAGTATCTGATTCAGCTGCAAATTTCACACTTCCCAGAAAGGAAGTCAGTCAAATCACTGTACCATGACTATCCCACCCCTCTTGGGAGGTTTGATCAAGTCATAATGCACTTAACTACACTTAATCCCCTTAAACCACGATTTCGGGTCCTAATTGTTTTTGGGTACAAGTTCCTCTTTTTCCACTTTGGAGGAAAACAGAATTTCATACACATACCAGTATTTTATGTTATATTTTTTTTGAACGCTATGGTTTGATTGGGTAAATTAAATAGGGGATGAAGATTGTTTCAACAATGTAATATTCTCCAAGAATAAGACCGCACTACGCTCTTGACAGCTTCTAAATCTTAAGAAACCGCTGCTGCTTTTCAAAAGAATGGAGTCAGTACATATCAAGAAACTGCAGTTTTTTTTTTTTTTAGTTACTAGCTTTGCATACACACAGTCACACAGTAGCTAGCTGCCGCGTTTCTTACATGGGTTGTAAAAAATCCCGAATATTTTCCCACAGTCTTAATTAATTAATTAACTACATATACTTTTTAATAATTTGTCGATCTGTACAAGAAACTCGTCGTCACAATGTTTAATAACTTCATAAATTACAAAGGTTAGATCATTTGTTTTTATCACATACCGCATTCTTAAAAATTTTAACATTCTAACCCAATTCTAGACTTAGAACGTCTTCTTATATAATGCCTGCCTCTAAACAACTCAACGATCGGCCTCTCTCCCCACGAAAGTTCAAGAAGTTATTATTATGTTACGTTAATAAATTTTTATAATTAAATCTTGCACTTTAGTAAAAGTGAGTAGAGATAATATTCGTGATTTACATAAATTAGCATATGTAAAATCTAATGTAACAAATATACGTACTTTTAACTAATATATAGGTGTCGTTTTTTTTTTTTTTTGAAAAAAAATGCTGGCCTCTAAATAAGTACTAAGTTGTCAGGCACATTAGGGCAGAGGGGCAAATACCCCCAACCGTTATCTATGCGTACCACAATTGATACATTTTTATTCCAATAATTAAGTATTGAGTTGGAAATTTCCTAAACACAATCAAAATGGGTGCACGAATCCACCATGATGCAGTGGACTAGGCTTAAATCCAAAAATGTACGACTAACTACACTTTAAATAATAATGCAACAAAGTCTACTATGTCCAATCACACAGTTGGCTTTGACTTTGCCAAATTATTAAATGGCAATATTAGTATTTCAATTGGACAAACGTAGATAAATACAAATCCGGTGCATATGGGCGATCGAAGGGCTTCTTTTAATAATTACTGGGTATAATCCTACTGACCATCGTCGTCTGCATATATATTTTTGTAGTGTAGCTATCCAGTAATACTACTGCATTACATGACTATATCAATAACACAGAAAGTCAACCATGGATGATATATAAAATTAGGGTTTTATATTTTTCGTAATCGTGTGCTCTGGTAAGAATAGGTAGGATTCCACACGCTGAGAATCTCTCTCTGACATTAAATATATATAATGAAATAAACTAGTACGACTAATTAATTCAGGTTGGTAAGAACAGCTAACTAATCTTATCTCTCTTGTTGTTTTTTGTTATCCAAAACGGCCAGTTCCGGCTGTTTAGTATATGTGTTTCATACATATTTTAAGCCTGTAATGATGAAAATGGCTATTACCGACTTTCTTGTTACTTTAGCATCTACTGCGCCGGTTGGATTAGTTAAGATCACCGATCCGCCAATAGGATTAGTTCCTTGATTGAAACATGATATAATGGGTTTTTCATATTCTTGATCTGTACGAATATGAGCTTCTAGGCATATATCTCCTTCTTTGTACTAAAAGAAATGGTCTATTACCATATATTCTTTTCAATTATATGAGTCATGAATTTGAAAACTATAAGTACGTATACTCGCTGCACTGAATATACACTATCGACTTTTTTGTTGTTGGTATAACGCACCAAATTCTAACAAATAACGGTTTCAGTTTTCGTACTAAGTTTAGTTTGGGGGAGGAGGCAAAATCGATTTAATCAATCCCAAGTGCTTTATAGTGGTAACAAATATCGTCTTCATCAAGGACGTCTTTTCCTCCTATACTTGAATTAATCTCTGTTGCACGGTAAACTATATACGTGCCAACGTGGACACATCTATTACTATGTGATTGCTGTCGGAATCAAACATCGGCAGTCATATTAGATTTATTTATTTTTTTTAGAACTCATGCTATAATAAGTATAGAAAAAATTTGTCTGTCCCAAACTTAGTCATATATATCAGGGGTACTAAATAGATTTGTTTATTTTAATTTAATAAATAAATTTTTAAAATTGGAATATCAAGGGTACTAATTACATTATTGAACTGGAAACCCTACATAGTTTAGGTAGGTTAGTGAAATTGTTTTTGCTTGGATTTGATCATCATCAGCTAGCTTATGGGCTTTACCTCGTAGCTCCAAAGTCATTATTGGGAAGTGTCATGTCTTAGGAGGTATTTTTGAGTTTTATAGATTCGAAGTATTCATTTGTAATTGTCAATATTAGTTTTGTTGTATCAGAATAAAAGATGAAAAAATTTATTGTTACATTGTGGCTCGATTATGATATTAATTTTCACGTTCTACATCCTTTCATTGTACTGGAAAAAAAGGATTATTGAATGAAATGATATGAAGTCTGATTCCCTCTCTTTGAATATTGTCTCTGTTCTTCTTCATTCTTCTCTGCCTTAATTTTGATTTCTTCTAATTTCTTACCCAAACGTTCTTGATTCAAAACAGACTGTTTTACAACCCTTGCCGGTGACAGAAAGTCAATGTAAAAAATTCCAATTACTACATAGACAAATCAGACAATCCGAATAAAAAGTGACACCACTAATGAAATATATATAGTTATAATAATTTTGGGAAATCAACTGTAAGTGATGTGATTTTTTTTTTTTAAAAAAAAAACTGTAAATGATGGCCCATCCTAACGTTGTTCCATCGTCATCCTAACAACATCTTGAACTACTACTTCTTGTTTTGTTTTGCTGAGTTCACCATGCAATTTATTTATGATGTTACTCTTCGGATAATTCAATTTAAGAAATTAAAATTCATAAACTGAATAATAACTTATTTGTTTAAATTGAAAAAGTAATAACAATTGTGTACATTTATTAGTTTTTTAATAATAGAGTTTAAATGATACAAACTTCACAAGTATAATTTTATAATTTTAGTTTTTAAAGATTTTCTAGACAGTGAGAGTACAAATGACTGCAGAAGATTGGGATTTTGCAGCACTGGGGAGCATAAAGAAGCAGTCTCACTTTATTTGACTTGGTCGCTGCCACTGGTTTTATAAATATATCGTTGGAATAATTTTTTTTTTATTTTGTTTTTCCTGGAAAGAAAGAAAAAGAAAGAAATAAAAAAGGCACTTTGCCTACTTGCCAACCAAGTTAGTCAACTACTCGATGGTACGACAAACCCCACATCGTAAGTAACAAACACATCAGCATCTCTATTATTCTTACTTCTAGAACTTGAATATTTTCTGTTTTGGTTATCACCACGTCATATTTCCAACAATATATACTGCCCTCTGTCTCAAAATTATTATTCAGAATGAGATTTCACTTTTAGTACAATTTGAATTAAAAGTAAAAATTAAAACTGGACAATAATTATGAGACGGAGCTCTGTCCCAAAATTATTGTCCAGTTTGAGATTTCATTTTTACTACAATTTGAATTAAAAATGAAAACTGAAACTAGACAATAATTATGGAACGGAGGGAGTATTTTCTTTGAAGAAAAACAATTTCAAATTGCAGGTAGTGCAGCTAGTGACTGTTTCAAGTCCTTACATGTACAAGAAATTGTCCATTTTTATTGCATACTTGATATCTGAGGGAAAGAAAAAAAAAAGTTTTCAAATAAACATACGTAGCCAAGTTTAAATTATGCTGAATATATAGTGAAAAGGAAGAGCAAGTCGTAAAATTCCTTTACTGTTGTATGCTGATGGAAAACATTATGTCAGGTACGATGATTAACTTGGATGATTGGGTAAATGTTGTCTTCACTTTTCACCACACCTAAGAAAAATGAGACCGAAATTACATAATATGATAAACTAATGAATGAAGAAAGAATCCTAATTTGACTGGCCAAATTTAGTCCTTGTTATAATAAATTAAAAACTTCCTAGAATTACATGTCGCTGTTGGCCTGGTTAATCTATGCTTGCTTTCATTAAAAACATCATAGAAGTCCACTTCATTATGACAATATTGTCTTCTACAGTATTTTTTTTTTTTTTTTTTAGAGAGTCAATGGAGAAGTTTTTCTCACATAAAATGTACTCCCTCCGTTCCATAATTATTGTGCACTTTGAATTTTCATTTTTATGATTTTTGTTTCTTAAAAATTCATTCAGGGAAAAGCACTTTTATTAATCTCAACGTCATGTTGGTGCACGCCACAGCTACTATATAAAAACTCTTCAACTGTAATTAAAGGGAAAGTGAGAGTGCAATTTGACAAGTCTGGGCCTCTGAGGACCCGAAGCGTCACCATCCAAATTACATCTCAAAACTGCCATTCTTCCAAATTGCTAAACGTACCCACAAATTAAGTACTTGATTAACTCCTTAATCGCATCCTAAACATGTGGGCAGGCTTATGCATTGTGCTCTAGACTCTTGCTACCCAGTGCTCTCAAAACAAATTACTACTCCATCCGTCTCAAAATTATTGTCTAGTTTGGATATTTATTTTTAATTTAATTTATACTAAAACTGAAAGTCAAAATTATATAATAATTTTAAGACATAGAAAGTATTAATGTCAACTCTTTACAATACGTACTTAATTTCTCAATCTCATTACATATGTGTGCCTTATGAATGAGATCGGATAGACTATCACAATTAACTAATTATACATTATTTCGAACGGATACATAAATTGATGGAATGATTTAATTATAACTATTAAAATATGTGATTATTAAAATAATTATCCAGTTTGAATTTTACTTTTAGTATAATTTTTGAACTAAAAATAAAAATTCAATCTGAAAAATTATTTCGGATAGATGAAATGGTATTTTGTTTGATTTTGCATCAACCTGTAACTTTGGAAGCGACCTCAAAATCATTCCTATATATGTTTGCCGTATGATGTACATATGGCACTGCGTGACTATTAATTAAGAGCTAGCTAACGCCTTCAGACTACATTAATGTGTATATATCTATGTCTACATAGTACGTGATGGTGTGAATATTAAGTTGTCATATATTACATCGATCGATACCATTGATAGAATGATATCACCGGCTTCATGCTCAACTTTCATAAATTTATTTATCGTGATGCATGGTCTGACGGAGTGCAATGTTTTATGATATTTGTTCTGTCTAAAAAAAAAATAGTGAATTTTATTGAAATAATATGCATTTATTATTTGAGTGACAATTCATTTTTAATAAAATAAAATCGAGTAGTATTTAATATATATTTTTTTGTGATGGAAGAAGTAAAAATGAAAAACCTTCTACTGTTAAAAAATAATATAAGCATCAAAATAGACAGAATCAAATTTGATTAAATTGTAAATGATATGATCAGGTTCGCTCCTCAGTCCTTATCCCACAGTATTACTTTTTGATGGGGGGTTCCAAAAATAAAGCTTAGCGAAAACCTAACCTCACCTTCTTGATAATTAAATTAATTAGAAAAATCATACAAACATGGAGTATATGGATTCCTTTTCACACGCACACAATATATAGCAAAATAAATAAATAAACAAATTGAATTGATGTAAATAATACGTAACGTAACCTTTATCTTGAGTTTGACTTGAGCGAACGCCATTTATTTGGTGATAATGCAACTTTTCACATGCAAATTAACCTTTTGTTGGTCCACAAGAAAATAAAACAAGTGTATGATTAACGTTACTTTTTGGAAGACAATTTCTCCTTGAATTCCTGAATTATTTTGTGTCCAATATCTTGCCAACATAAGAATTTTGAGATTCTCCAATCTTCAATCTTGCTATGTAACTTTGAATTCATGAATCACAAATTTTCAAACAATAAGAGAACCCTCTGAAAAGGGCTAATTCGGACACCAGTAAATTCGTAACTATGTTTCCCTTATAAGCCAGGCACTTCCTTTTTTCTTGTGACAAACTTTTGAACCACGTCTTGGAGGTTAACGAAGCGATCACTCTAAACCTAAAAATATTTTCTTCAAATATATATAAAAACAAATTTTTTACTTTTGAAACTCCCTCTAATCCTAATTATTAAACACAACTTAACACTAATATTATTTGATATATCTGTGTTTTATAATTAAGAACCAGAACAAGTAAAAAAAAAAAAAAAAAAACAAAAGGTCAAGGAATCCTGATGACGGGCATGCATTTAACAAATGGAAATCCTAATCTGCACATCCAAACTAAAGAATGGACTGCAAAATGGAATCAACGGTAACTAGTAGCTATTAATTGCACAATAACATACCATAGTGTTGTTGCAAAATTGTGAAAGATTGAACACATTCTCATTTCTCCGTGACGGAGTTAGAATTTTGTGTTTGCAAGGGCGAAATGTCTTAAATTTTATGTTGTAGAGGCAAAAATTTCTAAAAAATTAATTTACACTCAAAATTTGAAACACTCCTTAAACAAAATTCCACCACTGCACATTCTCCTTATGAATGGTTATATAAACAAAGAGTTCTCTATTTATTCCCTAATTAATCCGCGGAAAATACATGAATAATTTGGGAGTTAAAATGGATCAAATGAATATGCACCAAATTTGAAACCTAAAATGGAGAGAAGTGAAAAAGACACGTCGATAATGGTGGGGTGGGGGGGACTAAATCAAAAGTGGAGACACTCAGTTGTCGTTTTCTGGGGACACCTATAAACCCAAAAAAGGCAGCCCCCCCGCCACCACCCAAATACAAGAAGAAAGATAGAAGTCAGCCTCCAATTTCTTCGCATTTTCGCATCTCTTTCCCCCTTTTCTTTTCACATTTTTAACCTCCCAAGCCCAAAGTACCCAACAAATTATCGTAAATTTCAATAGTAAATCATCATGTGAACACCATTTTTCCCCCTTTATTTTTTCCACAAAGTTTTATAAATGATGTGCCAATCTTTCTGCTAGATTTTGAAGGTGTCTTCTTCTTCTTATTTCCCCTCGGTTAAAAAGGTGGTCATTTCTTATTTTGATTTCTGTCCACCTTCTTCCGCCCTACTTCCTATCTAAATATCTTTATTCTCCTTCCCACCCAACTTTGCTTAACTGTGTGCTTATCGCTTGTTAGCTATTAGCTCCACTGTACTGTTTTATCCCTTGTCCGCAGCTTTTGATTTTCGAGGATCTTTTATGTGAAATTGGTACAAGGGCTCTTGTAAAGGAGGGATTTTTATCTATCCATCTATCTATCTTCCGCGATGGGGAACTGTGTTGGTTCATCAGCTAGAGTTGATGCCACGCTGAGCTCTGGTACTGCTTTCTGCCTTAATTTTTTTTTTTTTTTTCTTTTGAAGCAAAGTTATGGTCTTTTCTTTGTATTGGTTTCTCGGGATTAGTTGGATTTTTTCCGTACTGGCCTTAAAGTTAGCTTCTTTCGTGGATGTAAGATCAAGAGTTTTTCTTTTGAACTCGGTGCTGTTCCTCCTTTCTGTATTTGTTTGGCCTTCTTCTGTTTTTATTTTCCTTGAGGTTGTCTTTCTCTTTTCGTGCTAATTTTCGTGGGTTGGTTCCACGTTGGTGTTCATTCATTTTGGACTTGTCTTTTGTTTGGTTTGAGGTTGGAGGTTGTTTTGTTGCTCTGTTCTATTTTTATGTATTTATTTATTTTTTTTTGTGTTTTTCTAATCCTATTAGTCCTTTTCGCCTGATACTCTTGGTGTGATTCGTCATTTACGTTCAAGGACTCTGGAAATTGAAACTTTTCTCTCATAGGCAAAGATTTGAATTACATGTGTTTAGGGGACTTTATGCTTTCCCAGAGTCAAAACTCTCGAACTGGTTGTCTTTTTTGGTCTTAGTATTGTAGTTCAAACCTGAATGTTTGTTAGGAAAATGCTGCTGCGTGTAAAATGCAGGGTATATGTTGTCCTGCAACCTCCTCCCATGTTCTGGATAATGATTAGATACTGCTTTTTAGCCCCTGAGGCCAGGCCTCTATAAGAATTGATGTCATCATGGTTTTTCATTGCAGATTTTAACTTCTTGGGATCATTTTTGTTCCATTCATAGATTGGTACAGATGCTTAAAATTTATATTTGAGCATGTTGAAAAAGCATCTATATGCTGACAAATTTATACTTTTTGTTCCAGTTTCAGAGGCCAGCAAAGTTCCTAGCAAGACGAGCAAGTCAACGCTTTCAAGTCTTACGCTGCCATCTTACAGCACAAAGAGCAGTAGTGTTGATAGTTTTCCTACTCCAAGATCTGACTATGAAGTATTGTCCTCCCCTCATGCTAAATCCTTTTCCTTTAGTGAGTTAAAGAATGCAACAAGAAACTTCCGACCTGACAGTCTGCTTGGGGAAGGTGGATTTGGCTATGTTTTTAAAGGATGGATTGATGAGATAACTCTTACTCCTGCAAAACCTGGCTCTGGAATGGTCATTGCTGTTAAGAAGCTGAAGCCTGAGGGTTTCCAAGGTCACAAGGAATGGTTGGTAAGTTCATTTGTATTGTGCTCCATTCTTCTGTACTTCACTTAAATTCCCTCTTACTGAAAAGATATGATATTTACAGACAGAAGTGAACTATTTGGGGCAGCTTCGACACCCGAATCTTGTTAAGCTTATTGGATATTGCTCTGAGGGTGAAAATCGGCTTCTGGTATATGAATTCATGCCTAAAGGAAGCTTGGAGAACCACTTATTCAGAAGTAAGTATCCCAATCTTGTTAATTTGCTTTGATGGTTTAAATTGTGGATGAAATTGTTTGCAATATGGCATTATGTTCCACAAACTCTCTGCTGGGTGTTGTTGGGTGGGTTTTGTTTTGGTCACTTGTTTAAGTCTCAATTGCAAGGCTCTTACCATTCTTAATAGCTGATTATGTTTCACATGTCCGAAATTGTTTAATCATTAGAATTTGGATCTTTCAGCACGTTCTGATTTCTTATCCATACATTCATTTCACAGGAGGGGCACAACCTCTCTCTTGGGCAACAAGAATGAAGGTGGCAATTGGTGCTGCTAGAGGTCTTTCTTTCCTACATGATGCAGAGGAACAAGTGATCTATCGAGATTTCAAGGCTTCAAATATTCTTCTAGATTCGGTATGTTAAATCTCTCTTTCTCTTTTGTTAAAGTAGTTTACATATGGTGCTAATAAAATCTATCCACTGCAGGATTTCAATGCAAAGTTGTCCGACTTTGGTTTGGCAAAGGCTGGTCCAACTGGTGATAGGACTCATGTATCCACCCAAGTTATGGGAACCCATGGTTATGCAGCACCAGAATATGTAGCTACAGGTCCCAATTCATTTCAAAACTGTCTTCTATTCCATTAATACTTGTTTCTATGTAAGGTCAGTAGGATACACTCCCACAATTTTCTTACAGAGCTCTTTGTTAATGAGCAGGTCGGCTGACAACAAAAAGTGATGTGTACAGCTTCGGAGTTGTTTTGCTTGAATTACTTTCTGGACGTCGTGCTGTTGACAAAGGGAAGATTGGTCTGGAGCAGAATCTTGTAGACTGGGCGAAACCATATTTAGGCGACAAAAGGAAGCTATTTAGGATAATGGACACAAAGTTGGAAGGGCAATACCCTCAGAAAGGAGCATTTACTGCTGCTAACCTAGCTTCGCAATGCATAAACACTGATCCTAAACTCAGGCCAAGAATGTCAGATGTCCTGGCTGCATTAGAAGATCTTCCAAGCCCAAAAAGTTTGAAACATTCCCCTGTTCAGAATCAACCCTTTCCAGATAATGCTCGTAGTAATTTGTTGAAACAAAATCATTCACCCCTGAGTATGACACCCTCTGCATCCCCATTGCCTACCAAACTGAGGTCTCCGAGAGTAAGATGATGACTCAAAAACCAGTACTAGTAACATCCAGCTGAGTTTAGCTTATGTATATTCTTCCCCAGCTCTTTTCATTCTCCTTTCCAGAGATTTTGGATTGTATTCCACATATATTAGGTAGGACTAGAGCTCACGTATTTGTGATAGGGTTTATGAGTTACAAGAGCAACATTGATCACCTGCGTTGCAGTACATGTTATGTGCATCACCTGAGTTGCAATTAGTCCGAAGTTAGCTACTCAAATGTTAATTTCTTCAGCAGTGAGCTCAGTGACATGTTGTATTGTAGTTTGTACCTGTAAATATGTACCTTACTAATACTATATCTACATAGCATAGCTTTGGTGAGGATCTTTATGGATCAAGTCGATTAAGGGTCGCGATCGGCTCATGTTTTGTATTCTCAAGTTAAGATATGGAAATTTTGGTGTACCCTCGGGAAATTGATCTGATATTTGATAGTATAAATAATTAGTGCTTCGCAATTACTTAGCTAGTGCTTTGGTTCAGAATCTGAACATTCAGTGGTGGCTATCCGCCAATGTAAAGCGTAAGTCATCGGTTCAAATCCAAAAAGGGCTAATCAGACTGGAGTTATTTTTGCTTCAGTGTTTTTAGGTTGTCTCTGTGATTGGAAATGAATAGCCATGTACATGAACACGGTAATGGACACATAATTTCGATACCAAAAAACTACCGCTGCGGTATCAATTAAGCAGATGAATCAACAAATGCTGGAGGGAACGCAGAAGAACTACCGACTGCTTCAAACAACAAATGCTCATCATTACTAAACCAACCAAATGATAATACAGGCAGCAACCAACAAGCTCTTAATTTTAGGATTGTTGGTGTCTTCTTACCACAGCTGCCAATATCATCAAAGTTGAGGGCGGTTTTGGAGTCTGGTCGTGGATTAAAACCATCCATCAAGAAAGGGGTGTATGTGGCCGTAGAATAGACTGTCAGTCCAAGCCATGCAGCCATGTATGAGGATTTGGTCTGTTTTTTTATGGCAAGGAGTGAATACTAACTACTACAATTTGTTTTCTTTTTCTTTTTAAAATATTGAGGAAGCACAACGTGCTTAGAAGTTGCAACGGAGTTCTTTGTCCGACCGAATTCCTGACATAGACGAAAATAACTCCCTACGGAAAGATACCAAAAGGCACCTAAATCCTTGTTTAAACCTGTAGATCTGTGAGCTCACAAGAAGATAAGATGAAATCAAATTGGCTTTAGTAAACATTTTGGATTGGAGGCTGATTTCGTTTGTGTTGGAGCCTAATTGAGATGAACATTTTGGAATCTCCATTTTGATGAGCTCAGAAGCCCAAAACTTTCCAAAAATAATTCTTAGCTCTGCTCAGTTTGGCTACGTGTGAGTGACGCCCAACCGCATCTCACATTCTCCAAACCTGTACTCTCTCTCCGTCTTGAAATTATTGTCCAGTTTAGATGTGTATTTTTTATTATTTTTTTTATATAGAAATTGAATGAAAACTGAAAATCTAAACTGTACAATAATTTTTGATGTAAGTGTAGTCAATTTGACAAAATTAGCTTCCATAAAACCTCCCAATAAAAACCGTTCTTGCTCTCATTCGTTTTTCGCTTTCATACTCTGCCTTCCTAAACAATGGAAGCAGATGAGCATGTCAAATGGAACTTGACAAACTTGATATATTTTAAAAGGATATGGATGGATTAGATAATAAATCAAATCTCTTGAGTATTTTTTATATTAACCCTTGTATATAATGCAGGGAAAATACGTTTGACCTACCATACCTCCTTAAAAGATAAAAAACAAAAAAAGGTTCGAACCCTCAGATCCTTGCGAGTTTTTTTTTTGAAATGGATCCTCGCGAGGTGAAGGGCACGAGATAGAACAGCAAGCTTGTGTGAAACACACCATATATCACCGCAAACATCATAAGGGTTATTTTACACTTTTTTTTTTTTTGGGTACTTCTCTGATGTTTTTCTCCGCTCATTAGAAAAACATAATTTAGTATGAATGCACTTTAAAAATTATACTCCTTCCGTCCCGAAATTATTGTCCAGTTTGGATATCCAATTTTAGTACAAATTTAATTAAAAGTGAAAATACAAACTTGACAATAATTTTGGGATAGAGGGAGTATTTTTTTTTTTTTTTTTTTACAAAAGAGTTGTTTTGCACTTAATATATTCCATTGACCTTTTTAAGTCGTTTTTCTGTAGAATTGTAAATGTTGATGACATGAGAGTGAAATATAGTGATCATTAAAGGGGAAAATACACTATTTTCTACATTTGCTCCTATTCTCTTGTCATTTTGGTTGGGGCAATAGTAGTAAGAACTTCAAAAGTTTGGTAATTTCTTTAACAATAGAGGCAATTTTGATCATGTTTGGTGAATAATACACCATTTAGTTGTTCCGGTTCTAATTACCTTTTTCCACATACTTTGCATTTAATTTCTTTGTTAATTGGATCCCATAAGAATTAATATTTGTGTATTTTAGACCTCATGTATTTCTCCCTCGATCCCTCCCCGTAAATATATCACATTTCCCGTAAATCGTATAAGATATACAAGTATGGGATGTACAGGCTGACGTGGTAAAACCTACTGAAGATTTACTCATGCATTGAACTCAAATTATGTTTTTTTTTTTTTTTTTTTCCTTCCAGCTATTGCTGTTACTTAGGTGATGAGGAAGATTTTTTCGAAGGATTCTCGCAACATGAACAGCTTGCCTGGTTAGATCATTATAATAGAGAACGCAGAAAAACTACCGACGGCTTCAAACATAACTGCTCATCATTATTTAGCCAACCAAATAACCATATTTGCAACAACTGAACAGAGCACGTAAGGGATCTTTTAACACAGCTACCAAACGCGTGTTGAGGGTGGTATAATCATCAAAGTTGAGGGAGTTTGGGAGTTTGGTTGTAGATTAAACCATCTCATCAAGATTCAACAAGGTGGCGGGTGTGGCTACATCAACCAAAACCAACAAGCAACTGAGAATTAACAAACTGTTCGTTTTTTTTGGAGTCAGATGGTGGCTGTCAAACCAACAAAAATAAAAGAATTTACTCCTAAGAAATTTAAGTAGTACAACAACGAGTAGGGTCGTCTACTTAGGGAATAAAGAAGTGAAAATATCTCTAATTAAAAATAAAATAATCAAATAGGAGAATTTTTGAATTCATAACTAATGGATGACAAAAATAACTGGCAAACGATAAAAAATACTTTTTGAAAACCGATAGTAAGAGAAACTCTAGTCAAAGGAATAATTTTCATCTTGATGAATCCAACTGATCATTGATAAAATAATTAACTCAACAAATCAAAAATATATTGGTTATCGTTGTTGAAACCTCCTAATAACTTAGTCTTTTAATTTATTACCAGTGATTAAGAAACCTACATTAACCATTCTATAGCCAAAAACACTACCTGGAATCTCGAAGGACTTAGTTTTTGACAAGCAAAGACCCAACTCAGTTTCTAACAAACAAATCTTGCTTCATTAAAAATTAATTATTTATTCTCACGACACAAATAAACTACTTACCGACCAATTAATTGCATTGTCTAAGGAACATGCAAACCTTGTTGTTCAATGAATTAAATTATCTAGGAGAAATGAATGCTACCAGCTATTCAAATAATGCTAAATAATCTTCAATAAATATCAAAGAGAATAAATAAATACTCAAAATATGTTGGTGAATAGAAAACGATTAGATCTCACATTTGAATAACATCAAGGTTTCAATAAAATCCTTCCACTAAAAAAGAGTTTTAGCTACTAATCTTAATAAGATCAATATAAAAAAGTACATAATTTAATCTTACAGAGCTAGTTCCAAAGGAAACAGAGAGAAAAACATGAAACTAGAAGCTCAGAGCCTCCCTATGCCTCTCTTGATCAAACTCCCCCCAAAATATTAAGAAAAAGACTATTTATATTAAAACCTAAAGCAGCCACACGTTCAGCCCTTTCGGAATCCGCAGAAGCCAATTAAATTTTTGGAATTTTCAGATTAGTCCCTTAAGTTTTCCCAAATTATAAATTAACCCTAAAACTTTGAAAATTTTGCCTTTTAGTCCCTACTTTCGCTTGTCCACACGGAAACACATCCTCTTTGCTGGAAATTCCTTCTTCTTACATTGATTTTGGCTTGAATTTCGTGTGCTCATGTGAAAATCAACCACTTCTTCTCCAAATTGAAACTTGATTCAATAAAATTTTCAAAAACTCTTCAAAATCAACATTTTTCTTCTTTTTGTCCTAAATCCTTCTTATGATTAAATTAAGCACAAAATACACATATTAGCATCAGAATTCAGTGAATATTAACTACTAGTACAATTTGTTTTCTTTAAACGGGGAGGTAAAAGACATGAAATTTAGTGTTGTCTTAAACAATTTGGATCAGAGGCTGATTTTGTATGTGTTGGAGTCCAATTCAAATGAACATTTTGGAGTCTCCCTACGATTACTGTTTAAATCAATTTTTGAACCAGACTTTTGATTTTGTGGTGGAGGACGGATTGCACGATGTGCTGATAGATAAAGTTTGGGATCATGATACATTTGGAAACGTGAATTTATTCGTCTTTTCATATTATTTGGTTTATTTCACTAGAGTTCACCTAAATTCAACCTTTCAGATTGCATGTCTACTTTGGAGTTACAGATTTTCAGCTTCAGTCTACTTGGTCAAAATTTCGTAATTGGTTTTATGTCATTTTCTCCTTCATACTTGTTTAAAATGGAGGAAGGCAATTTGTGGGAAACATTTTTTTCAAAAACAATTCTTCTAACATAGGGATTGAAGTACTAAAGATGTTTTATCCGTAAGTCAGAATGTATGAAAGACACCTTTTCTGAATATATAAGAGGAAGCTTAGGGTAGGATGTACTCTGTTTGATGAACAAAGATCAAAACTAAGAATTTGCATGATAAATACGTGGATTATGTAGCCATTTTCGGAGGATCTATTTATTTTATTACAAGTTTCTTCTTCATTTGCAGGATTGCATGGCAAGAGAATTACTTCAAAAGTCCTAAAAAGATACCAATTATATTCATTTAAAACTATAGAGTTAAAATATTGCATTTCGACACCAAATAGTAGACTTTTGTTTTCTTTTAATTTTCCGTTAAGGTTCCGGGGGAAAGTGATCGGTCAACAAAAAGTCATCTTTGCATCACGTGTATTGACCAAGGGCATGAACTGTCCAACAAAAAACTTGACTTTTTTTTTATTTTTATTTATTTTGAAGACTAATAAGTGGATTTCTTGAAGAGAATCGATTTAGGACACGCAAAAATATCCAATATAAACTCCATTTGGGAGAATCATTTTTTCCCAATCTACCTTTGTATACATTGTTTATTTCAATTATAATGTATCAAAATAATAGTTTATTATTGTTCTTATATCTTCTTAACAAATCCTTTTTACAACTTTCAAGTTTGAACATAATGTTTTTTATATGAACTAACTGATAAAATTGCAAATCATTTTTGTATGATCATAAGTTTGTACTTCATCATTTTTTGTATTAACTTATAAAATTACATAAAAATAATTGATAAAAAATTATAATTTACCCGTGCATCACATGGGCATAATATCTAGTGTTATATATATATATATATATATATATATTAAAATTCATCCCAATAGACCCCACTTAAATGTGGGTAAAACCCCCTTACAACTCCTGGTGTGAATCGAACCATGTGGTATTACCAGGAAAGACAATAACCTAACCACTAGGTTATCATTCAATTCTCATCTAGTATAATCTTATTATACATTGTGTTAATTAAATAAACTTGTCACAAAAGTATGTAATCAAATGATTACAAGTGATGTAAATATTAGCATAATGACCGGACTAGCCTTTTTTTTTTTCTTCCTTTCCTTGTCAATTCTGGATGCCCTTTATTATATGAAAAAGAATTACTTTTGCCAATACACAAATAAAAATCTTCTTTCCTCTAATGTGGATCAAATTTTTCCGCTAACTAGTCACTTTATTTCTTCCTTGTATAGCAGGTATTTAATCCACTCGCACGATGAATACTCAGCTGGTAGTACTACATCTATTTTTTCTTATCTGTCGCTTTAGGGTTTGCACGACTATTAAAGAACTAATGATTGAGGATTTAATTTTTAAATATTTTGTCTTTATTGATCCTAATTAAAAGTATTAGAACTCTACAAAAATATGAAATTGAAGTAAAAGAATACTGGTAATTGTCATTAGTATATGTTATTAAAACTAAAGAGAGATAAGGATGAAATTAAAAAAATTGTATTTAATGCTTTATTAAAAATTGTGACATGGTTTTAGGGGTCGATTCGGGTCGATTCGAGGGTTGATTCAGATGAAGTCATTATGACGTAAAAAATAATGTATAATTATATATATATATTAATTATTAAAAACTTATTAGTAATGTACCTTTTATTATGGTAATAGTAACAATATTATTTTAAAGTATCTAATTATAAATTAAAATAATTATATTAGTTTAAAAATTAATAAATTAGTTGTTAGTAATTAAATTTAATTATAGGCTATGTTGCATAATAAGTTTCCCCAAAATATGATAGAGACTTATGCTGTTATGACCGGACAGTTCCAGGCTACCATGGGTACGAATAATAAGGAAAAATTTAATTTCATGTGTTCCAAAATCACCGCTACATCAAAATATGTGGCCTAGCTGACATCAATTTTTTTTCGAGCACTTTACCTCGGGAATCCCCAACTAAACGAAGACATCTTTTTCTCACCTTCATACCATACGGGAGGCTCAAATGAGGATGATGAACAATAGCATTCTCAATTGCTTTCAAGTTGTTGACCTTAATAAGAGGAGGTATGCATTGTATTAGTTCTATTCTTAAAAGGTTTCTGAAGATACAATTTCTGATTATATTCTTTAATAGCTTTAATATTAAAATTTCATTCTATAAAATTTGAAGATTTCAAAGACTCAACTAGGTTTGCTTTCATCATTCTAAGGTCATATCCAGCTTCCAAGGGGATACTATTAGTAAAGAAATTCTTAAATATGTTAAAACTGAATCTTGTTTATATTATAATGTCAACAACTTGTTGCCATTATTTATAGTGTTTGAGAAATCCTTGCATAGTATTTATGGTGTTTCATGCGATAGCTTTTATATTAGCCATGTGATTTGGGGTGAAGTTAATGGAAGTGTTGATAACCCTGGGATTTTTCGAAACAAGGGTAGGATCTTGGCTTATTGTCTAAACGGCTATAGGAAAATGGCGTCCAATACGAAGGTTTGGTGTTTTAAAAGTGGCTATAAATTGTTGAGCTTCAATTTGAGAATATTAGAACCCTGGAGTATTCATTTGGCCTCTTAGTTGAAGAGATCACATAAACATGTGATCAAAGTGATAGCAAGATTCCAAGGTGTGAGCACCCCTCAAGCTAGGAAAATACAGTCCCAAAGTGCATATTATGAAGTTTATATGATCTTTGGAAGGCTTAGTTTCTTTTGGAAAGGTGTTAATTGAGCTGATGTTAATTCTCAAAACTTTGGTTTTGATGTTGTAACCTGACGAAGTTGAAACTCTTTCTTCACCTAAATCATCTGATACTGGAGTTGACACTAGTGGAACTTTTGTGAAAAATACAGTGGCTTGAGTTAGAATTCTGGCTGCACTCCAATGGGTTCTTCACTTCTACACAATGTTTTTGGGTTTTTTCAATGGTAGAATTGTAAGTCATGCTTCTCCATTATCATCTGGTAAGCCACACTCTTGTCTTTGTCACTCGGATATCTTCTAAATTAGCAGAAGAGTTTGGTTTTTCTTTTGTTGCGAATAAAGCTATAGAGTGGGGACTTTTAAACAATATGTTAGTGAATGTTAAAGATTGGAAATTTGGGAGTATTAGGAACATTTGATATTGATTTTCTCGCTTCATTCCGGCATATTATTACGATATATTATTAAAGTGAGAACAAAGAAGAAATTTCCATAGAGGGAAACTTGGTCGAAAAACTATTGTGATATTTAGTTGTTTATTGGATCTTGGGGCTAAAAGTTTGCATGTTCTTGTGGCAAATGTGAGATTGATTACTTCAATTACACTAGAAACACTGTTTTGTTCAGACAAATCAAACGAGAGTACAAGTACTTCAGTACGAAGAGGAATTACAGAAGAAAAGTAAAATTTAAAAAGAAAATAAATAAAAGAAAGAAAATGAATTATAATATTTTCTGGAGACTACATTGTGATTGACCTAATTTTACACATAACTCAATACAAGTCAAGAGTCCATCAATGATGAGCAATGTGTCATTAGGAAGAGCCTGCCATCATAAACAAAATGGATCACGAGAAAAATCAATCTAAGGGGATGGGAGGGTGAACAGGCTTTGTTCTATCAGGCATATGACAGAGATCCTGTGACTCTGGCAGACTACTTAGACGTGAGCAAATTTCTATCTCAGCCCCCATGTTTAAAAGTTCTCCAATAGCTTTGATGCAGGTTATCCCCAAAGACGTGGGAAATTGTAAACTCCATAAGCCCTGAGCAATATAATATGAGAAATCCAAGCTTCAGTAAGACACAAAAGATTCCCGCTCATGACAAAAGGCAGCACTATTAATAATAAAGGACATTCTACAAAAGCTTCCGATGGTGTCGTCTCTCGAAGAGTGATAATGTCATCAACCATTTCCTCCCATGATTCGGCAGCTTCCAGATCCTGACATAAAAGTAGAGTTGGCTTGCTCCAACTGCCGCTTCCTCATGATTATCCTTTACTTCCAGATTGATCACTAAAATAGGTCGTTGGCTCATATATTCGGAAATATTGGTCGTTCTGGCACTTTTGTACTAAGTCTGGTAGGGTGTGAGAATGTGGAAATGGCGACCACTCACATTGGTGAACCGATTAATGATAAATATTTGAGAAGGGAATAACATTACCACACAGCAGGAGTAGCATTGCCTTTAAGGAAAAAGAGATGAATGTTGCTATTGGAAGTGTTTCATTTGATAATTTGGATTTAAATGAAGAAGCCAGAAATCAAGGATCATGGGTGAAAAAGGTTACTGCATTTAAAAGAGTTGGTAGTGATAGAACTCATAAAGCTCAGGCATTCCGTAGGCTCACAACAACACTTAAAGTTGCAAAAATCAAAGTTCATATCTTGGCCATTTTGCTTGTCGAAGGACAACTCCATGGAGTTGCAGAGCTCGAGACTTATAATAAAAAATATGTTCCAACAAAGGAGACTCAAAAGTCATGGGTTGGGATTGTAACCGCGTTTAGGGGGTACATATTTTGGATTTACAAAGGTTCATTTTCGAAAGGTGCATCCTCTAGGAGAATTACAGGAAGCCATGCCATTTAAAGAAGATGATAGTGATTTGGATGCAGTTCTTAAGGCTAATTATATTTTTTGTGTCTTGCCCTTGAAGATGATCAAAATTATTTGGAAATATCAAGAGTTTAGAGAATTTAGAGGTTGAAGTGTATACTTGTGATGGGTGTCAAACCAACAAAAATAAAAGAACCCACTCCTAAGAAATTTGGTAGTACAACAATGAGTAGGATCGTCTCCTCAGGGAGTAAGGAAGTGAAAATATTTCTAATCAAAAGCAAAGTAACTAAATGGGAGAGATTTTGAATTTGTGATTAATGGATAACAAAAATAATTCGCAAACAATAAAAGATACTTTTGAAAAATCAATAATAAGAGAAACTCTAGTCAAATGAATAATTTCCACCTTGATGTATCCAACTGATCATTGATGCAAAGATTAACTCAACAAATCATGGATATATTGGTTATCGTTGTTTGAAACTCCTAACAACTCAGTCTTTTTAATTAACTATCAGTGACTAAGAAATCTTTATTAATCACTCTATAGCCAAAAACACTACCTGAAACCTCCTAAGATTTAGTTTTCCACAAGCAAAGACCCAATTCAATTTCTAATAAACAAACCTTGATTCATTAAAAATTAATTGTTTATTCTCACAACACAAATAAACTATTTAATAAGCAATCACTTGTATATTCTCTTCTAAGGAACAAACAAACCTTGTTGTTCAATGAATTAGATTATCTAGGAGAATTGAATGCTACCAGCTATTCAAATAATACCAAATAATCATTAATACACAACAAGAGAGTAAATAAATACAACTAGTAGAAATATATAAACAATTGGATCTCACAATTGAGTAACATCAAGACTTCAATAAAAGCCTTCAATTAGAAAAGAAATTAGCAACTAATCTTACTAAGATCAATAGTAAAAGAGTACATAATTTAATCTTATAGAGCTAGTTCTGGAAAAACAGAGAGAAGTACTTGAAACCAGAGGTTCAGAGCCTCCATATGCCTCCTACGATCTAACTCCATTACAAAACAATGAAAAAAGACTATTTATATTAAAAACTAGGGCATCCACATGTTCAACCCTTCAGAATTCGCAGAAACAAATTAAATTTCTCGGAATTTTCAAATTAGTCCCTATTGTTTGTAGAAATTATAATTTGGCCCCAAAGTTTTTGGTAAATTGTAATTTAATCCCTGTTGCAGCGTGCTCACGCCGGAACACATCCTCTTTGTTGGAAATTCCTGCTTTCTCCATTGATTTTGGGTTGAATTTTGTATGCCCCCGCGAGAATCAACCACTTTTTTTTCCAACTTGAAGCTTGATTCAATAAAACCTTTAAAAACTCTTCAAAATCAACACTTTTCTTCTTTTTATCTCAAATCCTTCCTATGATTAAATTAAGTACAAAACACGCATATTAGCGTAGATACTATTCAAAATAAAATGTAAATCACCATAAATATCATACTAATATCGACCTTATCAACTTGTACTGCAGCTTAAAAGGAACTTTGGCATGGATCATTCAAAGGACACGAAGAGAGATAAATTTTGTGATAATATTAGTTCTCTTGTAACTTCAAGATTTTTGAGTGGTGATCACAGGGATTCTGAGACTCTCCTCTTATTTGAGTCTCCACTTAATTTTATGATGATGAAACTAGTTGAAGAACATATATGATTCGTTATCAAGGAGATAACTGTTTTTTTTTTTCTTTTTCTTTTTTTGGGTGATTTTCATTAAGATTTGTATTTTGAACCTCATAGCTACAATTGTTATGCCTTTTATCATCATACCTAAATCTTTTGCCCTACGTAATTCTTAGTGATGAAATTTTCAGAAACAGAAAAGAAGAAAAGAAAAAAAGAAAAGTGATTTGTTTTTGCCCAATGAAAAGGAATTAATTTATTGGAGATAAACAATAGAGGAGAGTCTCATGGAATGAGAAGTGGCATAAAATGGACAGCCGTTTAAGCAGTGTCTGTGGATGGGGTGGTGGGCCTGGCATTGGTAAGGAGGCCTTATCGATCACCACAGACAAAACCTTAATTCGATCTTTATATAGGAAAACCAAACCCATGTATAGAGGAAGCAACTTTTCAACTGAAATTATGAAAATGAAGTAATGCGTTTGTCACACCCCGGCATGGGTTCCCGAAAATTTCTCAACCATATGTGCATTTTCTTTTTTTTTTTCCAAATATAAAAAACAAGCAACTGCCATTATTGTTACACATGAATACAACCTTGTCACACAAACATTTAACTCTTATTGTAAGGGTAAGAAGATTTACCAACGACTTACTTGAACAGGATCTGTTCTATAGGCTCGTACCTTTGTATCCTTGCTTTCTAAAAAGACTTAATTACCACGTGATTAAAAACATGGTTGAATGAGTGATATGACACGCATATGAAGATAACTACCAGTTTAACCTCACATATTCCTTGTGCTTTAAATATGTGTCTTTTGTAACTATGAAAGCTGTCTTTTAGTTTGCCTTCACAAAAGGGAAATGGAAACACCAAGCTGAGGGTTCTATTCTTATCAGTTCGAATCATAATATTACTACTTTTATCAACTTGCAGAAGCCCCAAAGTTAGGGGGAAAGGAAAGGACTTTTATTGGGACAAGAAAAAAAGAAAAAAGAAAAAAAAGAAAAGAAAAGAAAAGAAGCATGTAATCTTTGTTGGTAAATTTTGCCATCAAGCTGGGTGCGGCAGCCAAAATATTTCCAAAAATAGATGTGGACAAAAATAACTTTTTTCTATTTCAGGTGGATAAAATTAGTTGTCTTGGATTTGTTAAATCTGAATCTACTCATTTTATACTAGATTCAGATTTGGCAAATGCGAATCTACCCATGCATCTGAGAGTTGTGTTTCTTAGAAAAACAAGGAAATTCGGATTTGACAGTTTCAAATTTGACAAATTCATGATAACTAGATTTGTCTACACCACTCTGGGACATATTTTTTTTCCGGGTCTTTCCATTGAAAAATTAGTTCGGTAAAAAACTCCCATCAAGCTAAAGACACGTGAAAAGAACGCCATCTTATATACTGGTACTAATACACTTGAAGGAGAAGATAAATTTAGTTAGGGCAAAATTGCGTGGCCTAAGTCAAAATGTGACTTTCATTAACTGACCATCATTTTAAGACAGAGCTAGTTACTTTTCGCAAACTGTCGGATTGGTTTTATATTTCTACATTATTTTGTTGGTCTTTAATCTGTTAAAAAAAGATTAAAATGTTCAAATAATTTACATTTGTGTTTACTTGAATTTATGTCTCTAATATTAACATTTCAATATCGTAATCACAAACATTATGTTTTCAAACTTTTTTGGTCCCATTTCACGGTTTCGACCACTTTTTCGTCAAACTCGATATTGACCGGCTGTTGACTTACCAGAATCAGGGGTATTTTTGTCTTTTCGCTTAATTTGCACTTTCATTAAAATTTAAATCATTAAAAATATTCTAAAATTCACATTTCATTATTTAATTATTCAAATATTATTATTAATTTTTCTGGGGACGAAAGGTTTCTAATCTTCTCGGGACGAATTGGGATTTTGAATGGGTTGGTAGATTTCTGCAAAACATTAGCATCAAGAGCTGAGCCAGTTACGGAAGAAGAAGAAGAAGAAGCAGGCGGGAGCGGGACTGGGGAAGAATCACAAATGGAGAATGATAGATTTAGTTAGGGCAAAATTATGAAGGCCCCTCGAGAACTGATCTATAGAACTTAATTGGACAGTGTGGCTTCTACTAACACATCGATCATTAATGAAGCACCATATGTAACTTAAATACAGAAGGAGCAATACAATACTTGATGATTGCATTTGGTGATAAGCATCTCTACTTTGCATCAATCTAACGAGTACATTCTTCAGTCATTAATTCAGCTTTTACAGGTTTGCATCTTGTGTTCCATCATTTATAACATCCGTCCAACTTCTCAGAAAAACACATTTTTGTTTGGGCGCATCCAGCCACCTAATCCATCAAAGCCTGACCTGCACACCCCAACAGTACTGAATGGGTTTTCAGAACAGGTTGTTTTTTACCAACTTTGTCGAGCCACAGTTGCCAACCTCTAATTCATGTAGAAATTAAAAGGGTTATCTCTCTTTTCTTTTTTTTTTTTTTTTTTCCTCTAGCAGAAATAAGATGGTGCCCGAGCTCAAGCTGCATGTACTATGTATATAATTAAGCACATAGTGATCAGATTATAGAACACTAGTTGAAATCACAAGGAACGAAATCCCTGACGAGCTAATTATTTTACCTCATCGCCAGTGTGAATTGAATGAAATGGCTGCAAATAAACAACTATGTACTAGCTAGGTAGCTGCTTTTAGTATCAGATGGACCCGAGAGTTCCCCCAAACACTTCAGTAGGCAAATCGCAGCATCGATCCTTAAGCCCTTTAACTAATTAATTAATTAGGGCAAAGGAAATGAGCGCTCATGCCCAGTGAAGTGTTCAAGGGAACTCTGGGGGAACATCTGATTGATGTTTTTGCACCTTACTACTACTCTGTTGAGTATTGTAGACTTGCTTGTTTGTTTGTTAGATCCCACCTATTTATAGATCAGGTTTCCATGCATTTTATGTGTGTAATGACCAGCTCGTCTGATCAGATATCTTTCTAGGTTTTGGAAAGTGTGTTTCATTCAATATTCATCAATTATAACCGTATATGAACCTGGTCGTGATATGGTGCCAAATAAAAATATTAGATAATCAACACAAAAATATTTTAGTGGACACCATATATCTAGATTCTCTAACTTCAAAGTCTTTTTCTTTTTCCTTTTTATTCTCAGTACGTGACTTTTTAACTTTTTCATCGGGAATTAATACAACGTTATTCCTATTATAACAATCAGAAACCGAAACCGAGATCGAAACCGGGTTGGTGTTTCTCTTAATCACCGGTGACTTGGGCTGAGACACACCTCGGAATAGAGGGCATTTTACCGTTACGT